GGTTATCAAGTTTTGCAAAGTTCAATGGAGCCACCATACCGAGGATGAAGCCACCCGGGAAAGAGAAGAAGACCTACGGAAAGTCCACCCACACCTATTTTCTAGCCAACCCGAATCTCGCCGGCGAGATTCATCTTAAGTGGGGTAGGTTTGTAACATCCCAATTTTCAATTTGGATCTTATACATAGCCATCATATGCATGTCATGTTTTATTTGCATTTTGTTGGTGATACTAGAAATCCTAAGCAACTCAAGGACCCAATGAGAGAGTTGGAGATTTCATTTATTTTCATATTTGAATTTTCTCAAATTTGAAAAGAGGATCAATTTGGTTTTAATATTTTTTCTACAAAATATTTCCAATATCAAAAATAAAAGAGAGAAGATAATATAACTTCTTCAAAAAAAGAAAGGAATATTGGAGTAGAAAATTTAAAATCAAATTTATATTTTATTTGGATTTCATTTGCTATTTTATTTGAATTTAGAAAAATATGCATTTTAAAAAAATGCATTTTTAGGCCAGAAAAATGTTCACTTTGTTCTAAATAATAGGTTTAGACAATGAAAATTGTTTTTGGCATTTTTAGAATTTTTTATATTTTTTATTAGGATTTTTTCTTCGGGCAAAATTATTATTTTTTAAAAAAAGTTCCCGCCCGACCGGGCCGAAGCCCAGCCGAGCAGGCCGGCCCACCTCGCGCCACCGCCTTCCCACGTCGCACCGCCGCCGGACGTCGAGGGTCCGAGCCGGACTCCACCCCACAGCGCCCCTCCTCCAAGCCGCCCCCGCCCCCTTTGTATTGTGTCGTCCCGCTGCCTCCACCCCACACCACCGCCACAGTCGCACGCGTCGCCGCCTGCCGCTGCCCGCTTGCGCTGCCGCGTCGCCGCCCGCTCGCTGCCGCGCCTCGCCCCACCCCACCGCAGCCCGCGCTGCCTCCTTGCGCCGCCGTCACCGCCAGCCACCACCGCCGCACCCCGCCGCCTCGCTGTAGCCCCGCCTCGTCGTTCGCCGGATCCCGCCGACCACCGGTTTTTTTAAAGAACCGGTAAAAACCGTCGAACCGACGCCCGTTTTTTTAGGTTTTTCCCGTTAGATCGTTTTTTTCGGTTTTGCTAATTAGTGAACGTTCACTCGAACATCAGTGTTAACGAACGTATTCATTCGTTTGTCCCTGATAGCGAACGTTCGTTCGATAGCCTTTCTCTTTTATTTTATTTTCGGCCAGGGACCTATCGGCGGTTATTTTTATCACAGATTAGTCCCTGATTTTCAAACCCTCGCAACTTTTTGTTCGCTCGTCCAAATCCAGTGAAACCAACGTCAAAATCTTCGTCTTGATCCCCTCTATCCAAATAACCAACTTGAACATGGTTTTGAAAAATTAAAATTTGGTTTCTAGCAGTTTTGAATTCAAACTTCTTTTGACTGCAATTGAGTTTCATAGCTCCGATTTGATTGATTCTTTTTGCAAATCGAAGCTCTTCACTTGCACTTTCAATTTGGATCTTTTCTCTTGAATTTACCCTTGCATCTATTGTTTGAGTGCCTATGTATGTTATTGTTTGTTTGCGATAGAGTTTCCGGAGTGCGAAGCGTGCTACTACGAGTCACTAGGGTTTTCAGATCGTCGGCAAGGCAAGTAACACTTTGATCATACCCCTTAATACCCAGTTTTTATGCATTAGTTCAACACTCAAATACTGCATGGTTAGGGCTTGAATACTTGTGGGTATTGGGAAGTAGTGATGAGGTAGTACCTATTGCCTTTATTTTTCAACCCCTGGGAGTTACTTCTACGTTATGCTTATATTGCTATGCGATGCTCGTGGACGTAGTTTGGTTTGAGTGATCCATGATAGGTGTGAGAGTTTTAGTTAATGGATAAACTTAAGGTGGCTATTTTAATACACATCTGGGTGGATTGGTTGAGGCACTCTGGAGTACCCAGTGGTTATCTGGGCACCTGGAGCAATCCAGCGTTGTCCTGGGATATCCCGGAGTACCCGTGTGATTATCATATGGTTTGCCACCCAGGCTCAAAGGGATCATAAAATTATTCATGCTGGAAACTTCTGTGTGCAGCCACAAGCCATTATGGGCTCTGGCATAGTTGAGTAAGTTGCGAGAAACCTTTCCATGATGGGCTAGCAGATGTAGAGGATTGTAGGTGTACCGACTTATCTATCGGTTAAGGGGACCTCTTCGGAAAGACTGTGTCTCGGTCATCCATTTCTCAAACACCATGTAGTGCGAGAAATCCAACAGAGAAGATCGAGTCTTGTGGGAAAAATGTGCAAACCTCTGCAGAGTGTATAAACTAATCATGGTTAGCCATGTCCCCGATTATGGACATCTTGAGTATCTCATACTTGAATTATTGATTTGATCTCATCACTTTACTTAATTAAATTGTTGGGTTGATGATTACTTTAATTTGGAATTGAGTTGGAGGAACCTTCTCAATGTTTTCAACAAACTTTGTAGATAATAAAATATATTACTTTATTGTAGGGAAAAACTAGGTTTCTGCAAATGCTAAACATAGAGCCTCCACCAGCCAAATATGCATATAGTTATTGTTGTTACTTGTTCATTGCTTTATAGTGTTATCTTGCTAGCATATTCCATGTGCTGACCTACACATGCTGCAACGTATTATGTTGCAGAGTTTTCAGACGAGGAGTAAGGTGCGCTAGGTCGTTGTCGTGCACTCAGCTATGCCGTTGAAGTTGATGGACTCATTTACCTTCGAAGCTTCCGCTGTTATCTTATTTAGATGGCCTTCAGCCATATTATTGTAATAAGCTCTCTTTTGAGATATTCGATGAAATAAGTGTGTGATTGAACTCTATTATAAATCCTTCAAGTATTGTGTGTGTCAGCATTACTGATCCAGGGATGACACTTATGCACAGAGATTTGACCGTCTGAGGTCGGATCGCTACAGCCAGACGTCGGGCAAGAATCGCACCCCTCCGCCCCCCATCTCCTTCTTCGCCATTTTCTTCAATTTTCTGATGGATTTCGAAGAGCGGTTCTCCGGCATACAAGCCGGCTAGGTGGCCCGCTAAGGCCGCCAGATACGAGCGAGGTAGCTCGCTGCTCCACCTACCTTGCCTAGCCCGACGGAGTCAGTTGCTGCCCCAAGCCGACACATGGTTCAGCAACTCACCGCTCCAGGCCAGCTCGATGAGGAGTGGCGAGTTGCTCCATGCTCGCATGACGAGGAGCACGGCTACACGGGCGTCGCCGCATCCAGTGTCTGCGACCGCGCCATCCGCTGTCGACACGCGCATAGTCGCGCCATACACACAGAGAAAGAAGCCAGCTGCGTGGATGTCGACGAGGTGACGGCCATCATGTCCGCACTTGCCGCCATCATCAAGGAGAAGTAGAACACGGGAGGCCACTGTCGGTGCTCTGGCTGGTTCTCCTTTATCTCAGACCATCCCGGGCACCTGTATGAGCTCCACGGAAGAACCCGTCCCCTTTGGTTGAAGCACCCTCTTTGCTGCTTCGATGAGCGGTCCAGCCGGACATAGGGAAGATACGGGGAAAAACATGCCTCCGGGGCTCCCGACAGTCTGGTTAGCGGGCTGCCGGACATGAGGAAGACAAAAGGATCAATCGCGGCTGGCGGTAGACTAGTGTACTTTATCCGTGTCATGGGACTGGAGCTCTGTGCGATCGTACGTGCACATGGGCGTCACATCCGCACTCGCCGCCATCATCAAGGAGAAGTAGAACACGGGAGGCCACTGTCGGTGCTCTGGCTGGTTCTCCTTTATCTCAGACCATCCTGGGCACCTGTCTGATCTCCATGGAAGAACCCGTCCCCTTTGGTTGAAGCACCCTCTTTGCCGCTCCGATGAGCGGTTCAGACGGACATAGGGAAGATACGGGGGAAGAACATGCCTCCGGGGCTCCCGGCAGCCCGGTTAGCGGGCTGCCGGACATGAGGAAGACAAAGGGATCAATCGCGGTTGGCGGTAGACTAGTGTACTTTATCCGTGTCATGAGACTGGAGCTCTGTGCGACCGTACGTGCACATGGTTTTAGTTTTTTAGTTAAAAAATATATCCAAAATGTAACCGTTTTCGTCATGTTTGTACGAAATCCGACTGTGTTTACATGCATTTCATCCGGTTTGTTGAAAAAAAGTTTGTGATGTATGCGGTTAGCATTGGATGCCGACCTCCCGTATTCATGTCGGCGGATTAGTTCGCTTGGACGGATGCAAAAGAAAATTTGCGAGTTGCCGTTGAAAATGGCTAAAGCGTCAAGGATACAAGAAAGATCCATGCAAAAAAGAAAGGAAAGGATACAAGAAAGATGAGCCTCGCCTCGTAGCCGCCTACGAAGCAGAGTAACCCACCACCACCACCACCACCCAAAACAACAGCACCAGATGAGTCCACCCGCTAAATCACAGGCGTGTCCGTGTGCCAACCACGAACGCGCACTCCCCTTCCTTCTCCTTGCGTCATTCACACGCACCACCCGTCGCCATTTCCCTCCTCCTCCCTTCCCTCCCTCTTAAGAAAGAAAGCAGGCAGCACAGCACAGGCTGTCAACGAAAACTCCACTTGTTTAACCAACGCAACGCAACGCAACGCAACGCACGCACCCCGTTCCTTGTGGAGCGCGGGGCGAGGGCAACACCGCCATTCCACGCCGCGCCAACGCGGCCAGCACTGGAAATAACCTCCCCCGCGGGCACGGCCACGGCCGACGTCGCTGTCGCGTGCGGGAACGCGTACGCCGCCCGTCTCCTCCCGCGATAAAAACCCACCCCCTCCCACCCTCCGTCCCCGCCTCGCCTCCTCCTCCTCCGCCCCATTCCCCCAAAGCCTCGACTCGCTCGCTCGATCCCGTCTCCTGCCCACGCCCGGCCTCCCCCGAGGAGATCAGGCCACCGTGCGGTGCAGACAGGGCTCGCCGGCCGTCCTCGCGCGCGCGGGACCGTCTAGCGTCTCTCGGCTCGTAGGCGTCATGGCGCAGCGGGACAAGAAGGTGGAGGAGCCGACGGAGGTGCACCTGCACGCCGCGGAGATCACGCTCTGCGCCAACAGCTGCGGCTTCCCGGGCAACCCGGCCACCAAGAACCTCTGCCAGAACTGCTTCCTGGCGTCCTCCTCCTCCTCGCCGTCCTCCTCCGCCGCCTCACCGCCGTCCCCTTCCTCCTCGCCCGCGGCCGCGTTCCCGCTCTTCGACAAGCCGAGGCCGGCCGCCGCCGCGTCGCCGGCCGCGCCCGTCTACATGGCCGTTGACCGGCCTGCCGCCGGGCCGGCGGACCCGAAGGCGTCTAAGTCGTCGGTGAACCGCTGCCACAACTGCCGGAAGCGCGTGGGCCTGACGGGGTTCCGCTGCCGGTGCGGCGAGATGTTCTGCGGCGCGCACCGGTACTCGGACCGGCACGACTGCAGCTACGACTACAAGTCGGCGGCCAGGGACGCCATCGCCCGGGAGAACCCCGTCGTGCGCGCCGCCAAGATCGTCCGGTTCTGATCACCACGACTACAAATCCGAAGCAGCAGAGCCCACTCTTTTCCTTTCTTTCCTTTGAAAAAATTAAAGGCGTCCCCGAGAGTTTCAAAAAAAAGGAGAGGAAGGTGGGTGAAAGATGGCGATGGGGCGGCCACGACGAAGAAACAGTGCGATGATAAGGTTGTTGTTGTAGCGGTGGTTGGCGGTGGAGGGAAGAGAGGAGATGAGGAAGATGGGGTTGGTGTGTACTGTTGTCCCACGATCTCTATTTAATTCAAATTTCCCTATTGTATAAATTATCATCATCATCATTTCTACGATGCAGTATTCGCTAGCTTTAGCTGTCAGCCCTTTTCTCCCTCCCACTGGCCGCGAATTGTCCGTGACAGCTCAACCATTGACGTTTGGATCGCTCCGTTGGATCGGTTCGGCGCGGAATCATTATTGGGTGGGTGCGCCTGTGCCTGTACGTTTATCACGTACTACAAAGTCACGTCTGTTTGAGAAAAATTTGCAAGCCGTATGGTGAAGTTGGCACGTTTCGGTTGGGGACTCGGCGTAGCACCGAAGGCGTCCGTGATTTTCTGTGGGTTGTGGGTCGAGGTGGCGCCACGGAGGATGGACAGCGACGCCCCGTTTTCTGCCCAGACCGCTGATCAGAATTCAGAAGTAACAGGACGTCCAGCCAGCTGCCTGGCTAATTAGGTTGGGTTGGCCAGCGACGTCCATCCACCGGATGGGTCACAGCTCAGGGCCGCGCAGAAGATCCCTCGGCGGGTAGAAATCCAGAGCGGTGGTGGCACACGCACCGGAGACCCACCCACTTGCGGATGGCATCGATCGGCATCACCGGCACAGGTCGGCAGGCGCCACCACCACCACCGCTCCAGCGATTTTTCTTTAATCCATCTCATCTCATCTCCTCTCCTAGTCGATCCAGCGGCGTCGGCGTCGTGGATGTGGACGACGACGTGGCCCAGGCTGGAAGGGAAGGGGGGCGTCGGCTTTCTTTCTCGTGACCTCTTCTCTTCTCTGCTCTGCTGCTTACCTGGTCCGGTCGCCTTTGGCGTGCGGGGCCGCCGGGGCATCCATCCAGAGCGATCGCGACGGCCATGGACCCGGCCGCTCTCGGATGAATGAAATACTCCTACGGACCAAAAAATAATGATGGATGAATCGGGAGAGCAAGTCCTGGTTGTGCAGGTCCAGCCTTCTGTAGCTAGCGCTGCACCAGCACGCCGACGGACGATCACGTGGTATTTGCACGTGATCCGCATGCGGCGAAGCAGCTGGACTGACCATTCTTCACGTGCCGTGTAGTGTGGTACGAAGTAGCCAGGCCGTTATCTCGCCGCATGCCGGCGTTGCCGATCGGCCCTCCATAATTTGCGTGCGGTGGCGTGCAAGCTGGCCGGCTACGTACGTACTGATCCAGGGCGTGCGGAGAGGGACTTGCTTAGTAGAGTAGTACTACCGGCTGTAGATAGGCAAGATGGAATCGCTCGCGTAAAGCAGGGTCATCTTTTCCGAAAGGCTCGCGCCCAACTGCCCAGGGATGTTTGCTCCGGAAGAGAAAGGATCCCACAACGGGCCTGCGGTACAATGATTGGGAAAAGCGGGCGAGAGGAGGTGGGGGGACGCCTTTCGGCGGCCTCGGAAAGCAGGTTCAGTGAACGAATTGCCGCTGCCGCGAGCGCGGTCGAGTGACACGGCCTTCCATTTTCCTTCTTTCAGTGCCCGATCGGGATACTTTCCTGTCCTGTTCGAGGCTAATGGCCAGGTTCCGTTTCGGTGCATGCTCTCACGTTGGCATCCAGTTCGTGCCTCGGTGCGATTCTGCTTTTGACTGGGTAGCGCTGGTGGTGGATTGCCTGGTCGGGAGGGCCCGGGTGCTGGGTGCTGGATGATGCTGGGAACCGCATGAGCTGATCTGAACCAGCAGGAGCAATGCTGCTACTCCTGTATTTGGAATGGAACTGAGGAATGAAATGGTGGACTGTGTGCTGACCACTGCTGCCTTCCTTGAGAAAACTCTGTTCGTCCTATCCTTCATGTTTTGTTTACGGTCTCTGTTCATTCATGCGGTGTGGATCATGCTACAATTTTTGTACTGTACTAGAGAATAAGTGCAGGAATACCACTACCTGCTACAGTTGCTGCCATCATTCAGGAGCCACAGTTTCCGCCCACGTACCAATCAATTAACCAGAGAAACAAACCCCGCAAAAAAATACCCAGAGAAACTAACCGTCCGGTATCTTCCGGCTTCAGCCCAAAAGGTTATGTCTCGCACGCACCGATTCCTACTAGGCATCACCTATGGGCTGGATCTAGCAGGCCGGCCAAACACTGTAGTTTCTTTTCCTTTTCTTTGGGTTTCTTTTGTTTTATTTATTCTTTGGTCGGCTTTCTTTTTTTTATATTTTACATATATTTTCCTTTCTTCGGCACGTCTCTACTTTTCTCATGTTCAATCTACCATTTTTTGTATACATCATATACATTTTTTATACACGTTTAATATTTTTGAACACATTAACATTTTTTTTATACTCCCTCCATTCCCTTATACAAGGCAACAATGAAACATACATTTTGCATCTATACAAGGCCACTAACATCAATTGAGGCAAAAATTAATGATGTTTACTCGTACGAGCAACTTGTGTAATACTTGCATGCATATAGTCATAATAACACTGTGCTACTTCCTTCTCATTCCTTCCTTGCATGCATGCGGACGTATTAATGATCCCGGTTAACGAAGAGAAAAGTTGGCTTGCAAAGCAATTATGAAGTTTTGCCTTGGTAACTGTATTTTGAGTTTGTGACCTTGTATAAGCGAATGGAGGGAGTATATATGTTTTGATGTCTACTTTTTTCCATGCATGATGTAAAATTTTCATACACATACATCAGAAAACATTTTACTTAATACACATTTAGCATTATTTTCCAAATATATGTTTTGATGCCTATTTATTCATGTATCGTTTGCATTTTTCGTATACATCACTAACAAATTTAAATATGCATTTCACATTTTTTTTAAACACAGAACTAATGTTTTTCCAATACTATGTTTTAATGTCTACTTTTCTGAAAAAAGTACATCTTTATCATTTCTTAAATATATGTTCACATTTTTTGATAATGTCATATAATTTTTCTTGAAACACATGTACAATTTTTTGATATAAGCAATATTTCAATGGTATCAACTTCTATATACTATGCTAACATTTTTTGTACAACACGTTAATATTTTTTATAACAATCATGGGTTTTTCAAAAAATATATTCAAATTTAAGTTTTGAAATACCAACTCCCTAATGCAAGGCGGTTGTCTGTCTCGCAATGAACGAGACATAGAACATAATTGGTTTGATGCCAACATTCGGCATTGCCAATATTTGGCAAGCCAACATTTGTCAAAATCAAAAGTTGCCAAAATTTGATAATTTTTTGTGAGATTGATGAAACAAATTGGTAGCCAACTAATCACTAGCCAACTTTTGGCATTTGCCAAATATTGACATCAAACCAATTATGCTCATAGACGCGCCTAAAGAAACTGTATGCCAACGCTGCCAGCGCACTGCCAGTCACCCCACGCACAACATAGGGCTAAATGGGCCAGGCCTATTAGTGGAACGATCATTTGTGTAGCTTAAGCGTTATCCCGGTTTTGTCTTTTTAAGTAATTTTTCATTATATGTATATATGTGTGTAAATGCCTTAAAATATATATCTTGCAAATATTTCGATTTTATTAATTTCGTAACTGTTATTTTTAATGATTAAACAAAATATTCACCCAACATAATCAAATGTGTTCGCATAACTTTAATAAATTTGCATGACACTTAGAAAAAGTTCAAAATTTATTAAAAAATTCATGACATTTTTTTTGTACCATTCAAAACTAATATTCGCACATTTTATTAAATATTCGTGATTTTGTTTTAAATAAATGATCAATGTAGGTTAAAAAATACTCACAATGTATTTTAGAAAGGTTAAATGTGCACTTGACAATTGCTCAATATTATCTGGATAAATGTTTAACGTGTATTTGAAAAATGTGTGATGTGTATCTGAAAATGTACAGCATGTGTATGATAATGTTCAACGTGTTTAAAAAAATATCAACACATATTTGTAAAATAGATTAAAAAAAGCATAAGCGCATGAAATAAAAAAACAATAGCACCTCTTAAGAAAAATACAGTAACAAAAAACCTAGAAAACCACAAAACTTTTTAGAAACTGGTGTAAGGTTCCCCGAACCGCTTAGAGAAAATTTCTTATTTGGCACTGTTTTAAAATTTGGTTCCTTATTTGACACTGAAAAAGTTTTTCTTCCCTATTTGACACTAGTCCTAATTTTTATTCTCTATACGACATTTTCGTCCATTTTGAGCCTAAATGACACCTGAAAAGACGATTTTACCCTTCATGTGGTATGTGAGTGTGTGCGCGCGCGTGTGCTGTTGCGTGTGTGGGTGCACGCGCACATGTGTGCTGCTGCTGCATGTGTGTGTGCATGTGCGCTGCTGCGTGTGTGTTTGCTGCTGCGTGTGTACGAGCGTGCGTGTGTGTGTGCGATGTTGCGTGCCTATGTGCTGCCTGTGTGTGTGCTGTTGCTGCATGTGTGCTGCTGCGTGTGTTTGCTACTGCGTGTGTACGTGCGCGCGCGCGTGTGTGCGGTTGTGTGCCTATGTGCTGCCTGCGTGTGTGCTGCTGCTGCGTGTGTGTGTGTGTGTGCTGCGTGAAGTATGTGTTGCTGCGTGTGTGTGCGCGTCCATGTGTGTTGTTGCGTGTGTGTGCACGCGCGCGCGTGTTGTTGCGTGTGTGTGCACGTGCGTTATGTGTTGGTGCATGTGTATGTGTTGCTGCGTGTGTGCTCCTGCCCTCGCACTGATGCTGCGTGTGCGCGTTATTGTCTCCCACACACATACCACATGAAGGGCAAAAGAGTCTTTTAAAATGTTATTTAGGCTTAAAATGGACGAAAATG